TGCTTCCCCGAGATAGGTACTTGAACGTCGTAAACATGGCCCAACACAGGCTCAAAAGGGACTGGAATAGAGTGAAGATAGCCTAACATAGCCCGCCCTAGAAGTCACTATCTAAAGGTAGTGTCTGCGAGATAGGGACTTGAACGTCGTAAACTGGAATAAAAAACACCCCCTAACGTGGCCAAACATAGCTTTCATATTGCCTGACACGTTGGGCCATGTTAAATCCCTATCTCGAAACATGGAATCTATGCTCGGCCACGTTGGGGAGGGGGGGGGGCACTTCCGGGGCTATGTTCGGTGGAAATATTGGCCCCTTCCATGCGGTGCGGGCGGTTACCGTCGCGAAGCGACGTGAATAAAGTAAAAGAGCAGCATTGCCCGAGGGACAAAAGTATGGTCATCTACATCATGCCTTGAGCATTTTGCCTGTATGCACAACCAGGCTGCGGCTCCTTTTGCCCCATCCCGCATAAGAAGCCCGCACACAAGATTCGTTGAAGCTAAGATTCGTCGATGGCAGCTCCGGAACATCTGGCAGTGGCATTCCAGCACTCTCATCCCACTTCTCTCGGGCCTCTGAATCTTGGGCCTGTGTATAACACGCAACAACACGGAGGAAGCACAAGGAATGATTTGTTTTGCACTTTAGAAACTTTAGGTCCTCAGGAATCATCATCTGACTGTGTTATTGGTCCACTTCAACTCCAAAACGGGCCTTGTCAGGAGGTTGTGATGTTTCAGTTTCCCCTTCTGGCTCTTCCAAATGGTGGTTGACCTGAAAAGGGCATGCCATCAGGGATCATTCTTCCACTTGGCTACAAGCAGAATGACTGGAAATGCGTCTGGGCCTGGGCAGCTCTGGCATCTATCTTCACGCCTGTCAGGGTCACTGCTAAGGCCCGCCAAAAGCATTGCACAAACTGTGGGACAGCCTACGGTTGATCTTGTGATGTGCTTCAAATCTGCGTGTGGACTGGGAGATGCGCAAGCTCTGACACTAGTCCCAACAATACTTTAGCATGGTGGAAACGGTAGAAACTGAGCGTAAATCCTCCCCTTTCCATGACCAAGTCTCCCACAAGCTTTGTGTCGTTTCACAGGATTGGCAACTGCCCCCCGCGATGCCTGCTTTGGAGTCCGCCCCCTCCTCTCTTTGCAGCAGGCTGAGTGCCTCTAGGTCTGCCAGAGAAGCTCCTCACCGACTACAGAACTACAAGTTCATGTCAGTTGTCGCCACCTGCTACCAGTGGGAGACCTTCCTGCAAGCTCCAACCAGTCCGCCTTCGTCTATTTATCCAGCATCTATGTATCTCCATCAAGCGCCACTCTCTTGATCTCCATCATATCCCTTATACTGCCACATCACTCCCTGGTCCGGATAACATGGCAAGCGATCCTCGAGCTGAATATTGATGCCTGCTCCTTCCATCCTCGGAGATCCTAGCAGCCAACACCAGCAGCCAAAAGTGCCAGTTCTTTCTGTGAAACTCCAATCTTGGTTTTCTCCTAAAATCTCCCAGCCTAAAGAAACACCCATCTTATGCCCCATGCTTTCCCATCAGGCCCTCCTACCAAAATGCGTTGTTTCTCGGCACATCTACCCCCTTGCCACCTTGCCTCTCTAGCCTCAAATCTGTCAGGAGTTCGTGCGCTCGATCCTGAGAGTGTGACGGACGGAGCGTGTTGGCTACAGTACGGTACGTGTTGTTTTTTGTCTGGGAGAGGAGGGGTAGGCCATAGGGGTGGGCTAACAAGTAAGCTAACCAGTAATAAACGATAGCTACTAAGCTAGGAAACTTCTTAGGCTTGGACGCGGAAAGGCGACCCTTAAGGATTTGGTTCCTAAAATGTTTGGAGAAAAAAGCTTGGGGGGAACCGAGACAGCCGGGATTCGGCTCTGATCCTTGACACCAAGATGTTGGGTGCTTGCTGCGTGCTTTGCTGCCAAGGCACACTCTGGGCAAAGTGCAAAGAGCATATCCACAGAAGGAACTTCCGTCTGGATGCAGCCATGCATCAGAGGCCTACATCGACTTTCTGGCAAGGATGTTCGTGAGAGCTATGCTAAGGAAGGTGTGCAATGAAACCCAGCCAGCCTCAAGCGTGCACTCCAGAGATAATATTTAGCAGGATACAATGACTAGGCCGAGCTCGCGGTGGTTCTTTGGGCCACTCATCCGCGACAAACGGCCGCCAGAAGATTGACAAGAAAACACAGCAGGAAAGGGTTCCTTCATAAATTGCATCACGCTGTGAAATGACGTTCGTCAAAAATACTGTAGTTTTCAGCTAAACCAGAAATGTCTGGGGTCACAACGTTGATGCGCTTGCTAATGACCCACCGCGACTTGCCGGTGTGGAACAAGTAGACCTTGGTTGGGCCACAATGTGGCAAGTGGAAGAAATCCCTTCTGCGAACTGGTACAGGATTCTTGCATTCAGCGGCACTGATAGCTTTCAGGGCCTTTCCGAATGTGTGGAAAGTTTGCAATCCCGTTGGTCGAGTGCGATATATCCCGTAGGCGGACTAACAGTGAAACAGGGAATCTTGGACTTGTGGGACTGTAGCAACAGCAAAGCTTGGAAACACCCTTATGCTGTTCGAGAAAGCTCGACATCCACGCATAGCAAGGAGCAAATGCATCCAAATGCATCTTTCTGTGTGGCCCGTCAAGCCCCTCAGGCACCCCTGCGGGTGCAGCAGATCTCGCCCGCCAGCAGGGTTTGTTCTGGTGCGACATTTGTAAAGGCCTCGCAACGAACAAACGGTCTGAGTTTGGAATTGGCTCATGTTTCATCGCAAAAAAGAAGACTCTCCAATGTTCATCAAGCAATTAGTTCAAGAAACTTGGATACATGGACTAGTGACTAGTGGCTAGTGCCTAGTGACTAGCTGTTCTTGGGACCCTCCATCACTATGAACCTTCCAAGCACCCCCAAGGTCTTGGCTCATAAACGTCATTGATGAGCTTGTACCTTGCATCATTTGGTGAGACAACCTCACATGATCCTGAATCCTGATCCTCCTGATCGGATGGATTTCTTTATATGTCGTTGATGCCCTGAGCCAGGCCAGGCCATTGGTCCACATGTTGGGAACTGCGAAGACACCGAGCTCCCCACTTCCCGGTGCAGCCCGAGATGACGATCGCCGTCCGAGCCCCGCCCGGAGCCTTCCGTCCGTCCAAAGGCTAATTCAGGCCAGTTCAGGTCATGTGTCGGGATGAACCAACCGACCTGTGTTCATGTGACATGGGTCCGTTCAACATTTTGAAGTCATTTGGTGTTACTTAAGCGAAAAAACAAAGCAGCTCTGCGAACACAGAAGTCCCGATGTGTATACGGAAGCCAGCAGTCCTCCCTTGCCAAGGACAAAACCACAAAGAAACACTTACAAAAAGAACAAGCAGGTAATTGCGTACCTCTTTAAAAACAAAAAACAAATGTATATATATATATATCTCATTTCATAGGAACCCAAAAAGTACTCCAACCAGCCCAGGGCCTGCGGCGCCTGCGGTGGCGCAGGACCTCATAGTAACCCAACCAGTGGCACGTGCGCAGGACGAAAGCCAGCCCGGGTTGGCTGTCGGGGCTCCAGGCTGGACAGGCGGCTGTCTCCATTCCTCGGCGTCAGCTCCTGGACCGCTTGGCGTTTTCGGTGGCCGGAACACCACCGGGAACATCACTGAAAATAAGGAAACAAGTCACACGTGTGCCAAATTTCCTTTAGTTGTACTTTCTATGTTGTCATCCACTATATAGGTTGGATTCTGACTCCATACCTGAGAAGGGGGGACGAAAGCCAGCAGCCGCCAGACGAGTGTCTCTTTTTCTTGGGGGCGTCGCGGCACAAGACACATGGTCGGCAGCTTGCGAGTCAGCGGTGCCGTGGATGTGGGGGGGCAGCAGAGAAGCAAGCCGGGCGGTAGTGAAAGAGAAATGCGATACGTTGTATGTTGGTGTAGGTCATCATCACAAGGCAATGGCATGCGTTTGTCACATGCAGGAAGGTATGCATCTTATGGAAGTTGGAGGGCGACATCAGCGTTAGCGAAGGGGAAATACCGCCTGAGTTCGAGTGGTGGGATACCACACGCGCGCAGGAAGACCTTTTCCATAGTCAGCGTCGGGGCGCGCGCGCAGCGCGAGTACGGCATGCGTTTGAAAAGAAGCAATTATGTGTTTGTTACATTTGGAGTGTTTGAAGTTTGGAAGAGTGAACGGGCATGTCTTAGCCGGGGAGGTCCAGCGGAAGTAGCTTGGGCCAGCAAAGGAGTGAGGATTTGTGTGCCTATCGATGCACATGCCTGGACTTGAGTGAGTCATGTTCTGGCTTGATCCAAAACACAAGCTTTTTCCTTTAAAGGGGCCTTTATTAAAACGATCCAAACACATTCTTTATTCTTCTCTTTCTTATCAACTCTGCGCCTTTCTCACTCAGAGGCCTTGACTTTCGCACCTGCGTGTGTAGATCTTTGGGCCGTGGACCCAGGCTGACTGGATGTGGCCAGAGCTGCCAGCAAAAAGGCAACGTCATGAGTCAGTAGTATATAGAATTTATTTATTTATCTATCTATCTATCTATCTATCTCTCTCTCTCTCTCTATCTCTCTATCTCTATCTCTATCTCTATATATCTCTCTATCTAACTATGTATCTGTCTATCTATCTATCTATCTGCACCGGCAAGCCGGAAAAACGTTCGGTGCGTGTGGACGCCGCGAGAAGCGTCCACTCCACCAACATCATGGTGCAAGTATAGCTTTTGCTAGGGGGCAGGAGCCCTATGCGGATATGTAGTCAACCTCGCAGGCATCCCTACCGAAACTCAATCCAAATTCCAGGGCTTGAACTCATGTGACTTTCGGTTCTCTATGGACTTCGCGAGTTACGGGTTGTCCTGGGAACTCGTATCCTACATGCGGCTGCGGTCTGCTCTGCACGTGGGTCCCTGTCTTCGCTCGAACTCGATTGCTCAATGTTCATTGTCCCCTTCATGATGCTACTCGGCGTCCATTGCATCACTCGCATCACCAAATCCCATTTTCACTGCTTTTCTGACCCTCGCTTTGGAGCGCTCTCCCCCACCAAGCTCCCTCCCCCCCACACACCCTTAACTCACTTCGTTTGCTCTAAAAGCTCAAGCCTAGCCTATCGGCTGGCTTTCGTAATATATAAATATAGTTATATACATACCCCCTGTGAGTTCGGGAGAAGGCTGTGTAAATTGAAACCTAGCTCACATGGCACATGCCTGGCGCATGGCCGGCCTCTGGGCTCGGTCTTGGCGTCGACGTCTTGTCGCTCTGAGAGAGCATTCGTCGGCCTCGGGGACCACTCTGGAGAACCCAAGCGCCACCCGGAACCTAAGGGACCCATAAAGATTCATAGGGACCCACAGGGACCTAAGAGTCTTTGTAGCACAAGACAATCTCATTCTGTAGTACATTCTGTCACTCATTCCCATTCTGTTTCTCCACAACATCCACTCCTTTTGCCCATCTAGACGGGCGAATGAGAGGTGCCTGCAGGGGCAGCAACGCGCGAAGGGCTATTGGTGCCAGAGGCCTCGGAGCAAAGGGGAAATAGAAAGCAGTTGAGTCGCAAGCGATAGAAAAAAGGACCCAAAGTAGACCAAGAAAGAAATCTTGGTGCATCATTCGTTCTCCTATTTACGCAGCACAACCGGCCTGTTTCCCGCGATTTCCTGGCAGAAAACTATGGTTTCAGCTGCAAAGAGTGGTTCTTGGGCTCCTGTCCTGCCAGGCCGACGTAGCCGCCTCCCTTGGGGCTTCCGCTTTGCCCCGGGCTTCTCATGCTGCGGGTCCTCGGTGGAACCACCGCCGGTCGGCCTAAACTCAGAGGGGTCTACCTGGACTGTGCTCGAGCACAACAGCTGCATAGAGGTCAAGGTGCGCACATGATCAGACATGATTGCACAAAGTAAAGTAGGGCCTCATGGTGTTCATAAATTGATCCGCGCACCACAAAGCCACCAAATGAACCAAACACAAACAAAGTTGCCCGTTTCGGTCGCGAGTCGCGCGTTAGTTTTTCTACTGCACTTTACCTGATAAAAACGAAGGTGGTGCAGAACCCACGCACTCTTTTGTTCCATGCTGGCAAGGTCGTGATAACTTGAACCAGCAACAGCCTGGTCGCCTTTCGACCGCACGCCAATTCTCCGAGCCCGGAAGGCCGTGAAGTATGGATTTTGTGGGGTGTCTGGCAGTGTCTGGTGTCTCCTGGAAGGTCTGGCTCGGTCGGAATGTCTCCTGGACTCGGACTGATAGATTAGACCGGTACGGCACCAGACCGCTACGCCGGGCTGGGCCACAGCTAGGTACTGTTCGTCGGAAAGGTCCTGTCAGAAGGCACAGCTACGGCGAGCAAGCTTGACTCTTCAACCAAAAGGAATTGCTCAGCACTGGTGAATTAAGGCAAGGACATGTCAAATGTCGATAACAAATATAACTTTAAAAAATCAACCTCCCACTATCGTGATTCCAACCAACTGAGAATTACGGCCATAGACTTCACTTCCAGCCGCGTCCTAATGGCAGAGCGAAGTGCAGCGGTGAGATCCCCGTCATGCGTTCGCAGCAACTGGGCGAGGATGGACCACTGAGAACCAGTGTGTTTTTCAGAAGTGCGGATCTGTACCTGTCTGTATTGAATGCTTTGTTCTCATATAATGCCATTAATTGGTGCTGTGCTGCCCTCAGAGCAATACCAAACGTGGCCCAAACGGCAAAAAGGGCCAGATATGGCCAAATTGCAAATTCGGAAAGCCAGCGCTTCCTGAAAGTGACAAAATACCACAACAACTCAGCGAAGGACTCGCTCGAGGACATCTCGGTCGCACAGCGGCAGCTCTGAACCTTACGGCGCGACTGAAAATAGGGCTGATAGTAGCGTTCTTGCTCCTAGTAGTATGGCCAGGAGCCCCTAGTAGGGTCCTTTGCTCCTAGTAGCGATGCCCTTTGCTCCGTTCGTAGCGTTCGTGCTCCTAGTGGCAAACCGCACACTCTCTCAGGTGCTCTGAGGTGTGCACACATAAGGTCTAAATCTTCTTTCTTTATCCTGACGTTTTTCAACGCTGACTAGCTGATTCCTGACTGTTTGCCGATGCCAGTCTCCAGCCTGACTTGCTTTAGGCGCGTTTCCCTTTCAGCGCGTTCTCTATCAGCTTCCTCCTTGTCTGTGCAAATTGAAATGAAAGCTCCCCCTCCGCACTCCGCACTGGTCAAATAGTTTAACAGCAAAGCAAGTATGCGCACTCACAAAAACAATCGCTGCTGTTCGACTCCAGGCTTGGGAAAGTAAAAAAACAAAAACAGCCGGAATGTCATGTTGTTTTGAGAGAAAGCAAGCCTTCACCTGCGAAGGTATTGAAGGAATGTCAACCCATCCTTCTTTTTCTTCAACTCATTGAGCTTGGCCTCGACCTGCAGTGCTCTTGCCCAACTTTGCAACTTGAATCACAAAGCAAAAGTCTATGAAAATCCGGTCCTCCTTGGTGTCTACCTTGGATGTGACTTTGTCCTGGGAGAATCAAAAAGTGCTTGAGCATGCTTGAGCTGCTTGTCCCACATGAGCTGCACAGCTGCAGGAACCCAGCCTCATCCACAAAATCTGTCAGCCTGTCCAACTGTTTTGCCTGCAGTCAAATGAGCCTTGCTCTGCCGAGTTGTTGCACATTGGGAACAGAATTGAAAAGATCGAACAAAGGGTGACCATTGACAACATTCTTACCAAATGACAACTGGAACAAATCTCGCATCACTGCACCACCCCAACTTCGGTATTTGTGACCGCGGAACTCGTCTTCCCTGTCAACTTTGGTGTCTGAGTGGTCCTTGCTCCGCACGTGAAAGTCCTCCTCCCGGCATCACGTGAAAGTCATCCCACCTCCTTGGCCGACTCGCCAGTCTTTTTGGGCTCTTCCTGCGGTTTTTCTTCTTTGCTTGCAGAAACGGCGGTAGAAACCCATGCCGATCACCTGGGCCTTTTGCTCTACGAGTGAAATCAAACAAACATATCTCAAGTGGAAGAACGAGTGTGACACTGGTTGGTGTTCCTCCTCGTCCTCTTCGTCACCATCATCATCATCGTCCTCAAAAACACAATACAAATGCAATAACACCCAACTAGGCCAGTTTTTTACCAAGTTCCTTGTGTTTTTCTCCCATGGCCACAGCTGAAGTTTCGGCAATAACGAATAGTTATAATGTTTCACTATCTGGATTGTTACATGTCTGTTTTGCATGCGTCCGTGCCAAAATACTGATTTGTGTCTTTGTGGTTTGGTGTTCTTCATGGGTGCCTGCCAGGCTTACAAAATTGGTTCTGTCAGAGTAAAAGTGGCAAGTGGCGGCGAAGGATGCAATCAACAGCCTCTGCTCTCTGCCATGTCAATTGCGCGCCGTCCTGCCCCCCCCCGGCCCCGGGACATGGTGAAAATGTGTTTGCAATCGAAACCTTTTATGTGTGACTCTTTGCACACCAGGAGGTGCAATCCTGTACAATCTATACAATTGAAGTTTCTCCTGACCTCAGATTTTGTGGAAACAACAGGCCAGATTTCTGCCTGTGATGTCCCAATTTCACGCCTCAGGAGTGGATCCCTCTGGGGTTGGGTTCCAACATGGTCCTCAAGGATCAGACCTTTTGGTGGACTCACTCTGCAGCGGGTCCTGCAGTTCACAGCCACGTGCTGCAGCAGGTCCAGTGGATGCCATGTTAAAGGGTGTGTCCTTCATCCAGTTCAGGCTGTTGTTCTTCAACAGCCTCGCCTCCAGCACCTTGAATCATCTGGCCACTGAAGAGCTGCGCAAAACTTTTCAACTCAGGAGAGGGCCGGAGGCTTCGGCTTCACTCGTTGGTGCCTTTCGGGGGTGTTCAACCTCAGAGTGGGGACAGAAGTTGCAAAGCCCTCGCTGCGAACTCAGGGTGATCCGAACTGAGGGATCTGCACCATCCAAAGAATCTTGCAGCCAATGTCCTTTGAAGGCGGAGCCATCCCTGTACACCTCGATTGATGAATTCGTTTAAGTTTTTTGATCTTTTGATTCTGAGTGTTCTTGTCAATCTCATGGGAGCCCCTAAGAGCCACACAAACATCCCGGAGCCATGCTTTTGCCCAGCCTGCTCAGAATCTCAAACGTCTGGAACTCTTTCAGACTGTGCCCAGAACCTCCACAAAGCCAACCTTGGTCAGAACGGTCACAAGGGCGATCAAATGTGGCATAAATGTTAAATCATATAGCGAGAGTGATTGCAATATCAAATGCGTTCTAGATTGTTCCAAATCGTTGGCCAATCTCTCAGCCCATGGCATAGGCATCGCCGGAAGGCAACATGGCAAGCATAACGCCGTCGTTCTTCCTTGACGGCCCAAGGCCCAACACGGCCACGACGCACCAGTGGCTCTAAAGCTCGATTTGTCTCAGTGGCGCCTGCGGGGACTGGCGACCTTGAGGCAGATCTCTCCAAATCTCTCCATCAAACACCCTCTAGAACCCCTTGGTGGGCTCAGCTCCTGACGGAGTCCTCCCGAACATCAGTAAAGACCTTGGTCAACTCACGGACTGAGGTTAGCGATTCCAGCAAACCTGTTCCAAACGACCCGACCTGCCACGGCGTTTTCAATAAGCCTGCAACCCTTGCCGCGTTTGAGATGGGGTCTGCAGGGATATCCTCCAGCCTTAGGGACAATCAAACACAAGAAAAAAACACCTAGAATCTTTTAAACAAAGCATTTACAAACGCCAAGGGATTGTTCCAGACATCATGCTTGCTGCAGAGCCGGATCACTCACCAGGCACTTGCCATTGCCATTGCTCGACTTCAGCTTAAGTGCAAGTCCAATCAGGACACATAAGACTTCGATCACTCGCCTTGCCCGAAGTGCTAGGGCACTGGCCAGCGTTCACGCTTGCCATCACGCCAGAATCCTCAAAAGGACGCTCTCATAGGAACATTAATCTATCCGTTTGTCCTTCTGTTTTGTTCAACTCAGACCATTCATCGCCTGCGACGCATTCATCTCCCATCTGCATGCAGCCCGGCCCGTTGGGACCATCCCTGCGCTGCGAGACCCAACCACTCGTCGAAGACCGTCTACACCGGGCCGTGCCTCGAGGTCTCCCCAAGGAAGACCTCGCCAGAAGCAGGAGAAAAAAAAGTTGCTGCAGAGTCTGGTTGGCAGATCTCCGAGGATCGTAGGCGTCGTAGGCCCTGGACCTCTCCAGATGGAAGAACCTTTTCGCCCACCTCGGAGCAACAGCTCGTCTCGTCAGCTCGTTTCTCGATTCGGCTTGCTTGCATCCGAGGGAGTGACCAGGCCATCGGGCCCAAAGCGCCCAGCAGCTCTGCAGCTGCCCTAGGTCTACTTGTTCGAAAGTAATGACTTGCTTGTCATTGCTTGTGATGCCCTTTTTGTTCTGGCGTAGCTGTCGACTCTGACTCTGGCCTGGGCTGCAGTAAGGACCCCGTGACCTTGGTTTTCACGACCCGAGTCAAATTAGTCAAACGTGGATAACAGTGCAAGACAAAGAATAGTTGCAAAAACGATTGCTACATCCCCAGCGCCTTGGCATTCTGACATCTCAAACTCTCCAAGATATTCATCCTGCATAGGGGGAGCTGGGAGCACGCTCTATGACACCACCAATGCAGTCATGCTTTCACCCCACTTCGCAAACAATTCCGGCATTCCGGTGCCATATGATACAATGCATCAGTCCATGAGGCCATCTTCTCGCGGAAGCATCACCTCAAAAAGAACCCTTTCAAACCAGAGGAGGTCAATTCGCGGCTTTCAGTGATCAATGACCGTGACGCCACTGTAAGCTCCTGGCTGCCCCACATCCTGAAATCTCATGTGTCATTACTGGACTTGCAACAGGTCAGACCCAGGTTGCAGTCGACATCGCATTGCTTCGCCCCACTATCAAACCCTTGCTCACGTTGGGCAGCCTGTTGTTGTTCCTTTATGCAGCGGGGCCCGGGCTATGTTGGACTATATATCTCTTCGGAGGTCGTGGCTCGTTCATGAACTTCCCAACGTTCAAGAAGACTGCTGTGCCTTGAAGCTCCCCATGCACAAACTCCCCAACCTCAGCAAAAGTGTTTGTTCCTACACTGAGTTCTCCATCTCAAGCTCTGCTACATTCTGGTAGTTCTCAGCATCTTGCATAAACGAAGGACCTTATTTCGTGGCAACCCTGAGTGAAGTACTGTTCTGACAACGATACCGAGGTCTGGACTCCTTTGCACCTTCGGTACTGGCAAAACATAGAACACCCCGACCTGAAACAATAGTTATTATATAGTCACATCAATCACAGCAGTAGCACAAGCCCCATCATGAACCAGCTGCCCATGGGCTTGCCAAGATGTCGGCCATGCATCTTTCCACCAGACCAGTTGCCCTGGTAGAAACTACCCCCAGGCCTGAGATGAATCGCAATGTCTTTTTCCAACAACTACCAAGGCATAGGGGTATGGGTCCTAAAAGGGCACAGTGTTGAGAAAAACCCAAAAGTTTGTCATTTTGTCCTTTGCCATAGGCCTTTGGCAGGCCACGACAGTTTGCAGAGCGGGGGCTTTGTGATTCAAATCCTTGATAAGTCGCTGGCCAATTGAATCTGCCTTTTCCATCATAGAGTCCAAGCCTTTCAAGGGAGTGACGGCCCGGCCTACCAGGCCAACTTGGGGTCCAAACATGGGGCTACCCCTGCCTGAAGTCACCTTCGTACTGGGCACCAGTGGCAAACTCCAACGAACCTTTGTAGATTCGCTTGCATGGACAGGTCGTTACCATTTGCTGGGAAGCTCATGCTGTGGGGCAATCTCGACAAGTACACAGCCGTAAACAAAGGGTTTTTGGCATGACGTCTTTTTACCGGCGCTTTTCAGCACACCCTTGGGCAAATCATCTCGGCATCCGCTCAATAGCCGCCTCAGCGAACAGCACTGGTGCAAACAGGTGCGCTGCCAATCTCAGCCAGCCCTGAGGCCCGCACATGCCAGCCCTGAATCTGAATGGGTGCTGCTGTGACATGGCCAATCAAATAGCAACCTTCACAGCCAGCCTGGAGGATGGTGCACCAACAAAAAGAAAGCAGCCCAAGCAGCATGGAACAAGCCAAAGCCACGCCTCGCTTAAAGGGCATACCTCCCACGCAATGCACCGGTCTTCGCGGAGACAGTCCCGGCGGCAATCATCCGGTCCAACAGGTGATGTGCTGAGAATGTGGTCACCTTCCGGGCTCCCGAAGCCAACAGGAAACGACTGCATTGCCCGGTCTCAGCTACCGAGAGAGAGAGAGAGAGAGGTCTCAGCTACCGGTCTCAGCTACATCTCAGTCACGGACGAATCGATGTGTATGGAAATCCTTTGTCGAGGGTCTCCTCAGACCTCAAGGAGACCCAAACATCAACTGCCGGCCGCATGAGGTCAACTCAGTGTGTGGCCCCACGAGTAGGGGGGCAGGCTCCACCTCAAAGAGACGCTGGTCATGTTCATGTTCCCTCTGTGCACTGAAATGCCATTGGTCACACAGAACCTGGTGAGGTGGTTTAGCTAACGACACATTTAAGAGACCGGGCAGGCTGAGAGAGGCCGGCAAGGCCAAAAGTGTCCTCTCGCGCTTGCAGGGGAACCGGCAAGCTGCTAGGTGCTGCGTGCTGCCATCCGTGACTAAAAGGAAGTGAGACCTTCATCCTTCTTCCGCCAGACCCTCTTATGGAACTTCCTTGCAGCTATATAAGTGAAATCATATCACTCTCACTCTCCACTGTGCTCCTCCTGGGAGTAAGGTTTGATCTGATCTGGCCCAGACTCTGAGAGAGTTGCTAGGCCATCTAGGACTCGCATGGCTGCTTCATTCAACCTCACATTGGCTTGGGCCAGTCGCTCATTCAGTTCAGGCCAGGTAGCATCGGGCAAAAGAACTCTGGCTCTCTGAAATTGGTTGGATAGCTAATAACGACCTATGTTACATCTATACAGGGTAAAAATATGCTGCAGTTGGATGCAGTTGGGCTGTTATTACAAGACTTTCCTCATGGAAAAAGGGTCCGTCAAGATGGCCAAATGAGCGCCACTTGCAAAGGTGTGCGCACATTGCAGCAAGGAAGCTCGAAGTCCAGAAGCCTTGCGTTCTCAAGGATCCGCACATGCGTGGCACTCTTGGGGATGACGCCCACTCCACGCTGCAGGGCCCAACGATGCAGAATTTGTGAGGCACTCCGCCCGACAGAAGTGGCAATGGCCAGCACATGTGGGTCCTCCAAGGGCGACATAATATGAGGCCATTCTGTCTGAATGGAATATCCCATGACCACCATCTCATTGGCCTGTGCAAAGGCCACGACATCCTCGCTCGGGATCTGCTCACCTGGCTTGTAGACCTTGAAGAGGTTCTGAACATAAGCTGGAGGGACCCGGGCAAAGGACAGAATCAGCTGAAGCTCCTTGACGTCACAGTTCGAGACGCCTAGCGCCCGGGCTCGACCTTGGTCATAGAAGCCTTCCATGATGCTCCAAAGTGACTGCAGCTGGGCAGGGTCCGCCGGAGGTGTGTGCAGCATGTACAGGTCGACGTAATCTGTTCCGAGTTGGGAGAGCTGAAAGGCAAAGACATCTGCTGCGTAGGCGATATCTGTCAAGCCCTTTGGAATTGAAGACGCCTTTGTCGCTATGAATATGTCCTCTCGTGGAACACCACTATCCGCAATGGCTTTCCCAATCTCTGCTTCGTTGGCATATCCTTCCGCCGTGTCCAGGTGACGGTATCCAGCTTCCAAGGCCCAACGAACTGGCTGATATGCTGCCTTGGCCCAAAGCCTCCAAGTCCCAAAGCCCACCGCTGGCATTCGAGCTCCCGTGCGCAGGGTAAAAGCGGCATCTCGGAGGGAGCTTTGGCCGTCGGCAGGCCAGACCCACCGCTGCCTCGACCTTGTCAAAGGCAAGTGCACCATGCAATCTTTCTAGGCTTCTACAGGACCCCTGAATGTCAGTCAAAATGGTCTTGGACAAGTGACGGTTGCAGTGGGATTGACAAAACCAGAGGTGGGTGAATCTGCAGGTACGGCCTGCAGGACAGATTCAAACAAACTTCAACAGCACATCTTGGCCGCTTGGCCATGCGCCCAACCCAGCCTCAGCTCATTGAGCAGCTGACGCCCTGCATGAGTAATGTCCTTGTGAGGCGAAGTGCGAGACAAAAAAAATACCAGAAGGGGTGGCCATGGGGCCTGGGTTTTGGTTTTCCATACATTTTCATAAATATTAGGTAAATGCATCAGTGCCACAATCAAAACCAAAAAACACTGATAAATATGCATAAAGGATAAAAAGCACATAAGAAAAAAACAAAAAGAACTAAAAACTATGGGAAAACAAAAAAACTTTAAAAAAAAAATCAGGGAGACTCTTGGCTGGACCCCCCAAAATCAGAAAACCCAAAAAAACAAAAAAAACTTGGGAAAACCAAAAAAAAAAACAATTCTCAGAGACTCTTGGCTGGACCCCCTTTTCCTCAAGACTTCCCCAGAATTTTTTTGTTTGGTTTTTTTTGGTTTTTTTGGTTTCCCAAAGTTTTTTTGGTTTTCTGAGTCTTCTGATTTTGGGGGGTCCAAGCAAGAGTCTCTCAGAATTGTTTTTGTGTTTTTTGTGTTGTCTCAAGGTTTTTTGGTTTAGCATCTGAACTTACTTCTCACCTCAAGGCATCTGTTCTTTTTGCTTACGTCTGAAACCGTCTGAGCTCAACACTTCCTTCGTCCTTGTCCAAATCTCCATATACAAGTCTGAGTGCATTAACTGCTGACTGGTATCAATGCGGTTGCCACTTGCATTTCCAAACAGCTTGACATGCAGTTGCGAGGACACTCTGTCCTTTACATGAAACGGTTGGAAATCTTTGCGAGCGTAATTCTGTGCTTATAGCTCAAGCGTTTACATCTTATTCTGGCGAACTTCTAATTTTAATTCTAATTCCTGTCTAATTCAACTCTCATCTAATTTCAATTAGGCTATAGTTATAGTTCAATACAAGTTTATTAAAATTCGGTTTTACTTCAGTTTTATTTTAGCTCTAACTCAAATCCAATTTACTTCTACCTAATTCTATTCTAGCTCTAGTCTATTTAGTTTAAGAAAACACGTGCTACAAAACCCCGTGTTTTACAGTATTTTTTTGCCCTGGAAGTGCTGGGAACAAGACTAAAACCCTTTTTTGAAGTAAATAGTTAGATTTGTTTATTGTCAGTAATCACTGGAGATAATATATACATATTAAACATGTTTTCTGTACAAGCTTCTAATTCAAGAGCTTCCCTCTAGATCTCTGGGGATGATCATTTCTACAATAAAACTTTTTTTTAAGCTTTCCTTTCAAAAGCTGTCCTCTGGATCTCTGGAAATGGTCACGTCAATTGAAACATGCTATATATCAATAAATAAGTCTTTCTTTCAAGAGCTTTCCTTTCATGAAAACACATATAGGGATATCTACTTTCCCAGAGATCCTGAGGAAAGCTTTGAAAATGCAAGCTCTTGCCCGCAGAAATCTAGAAGAAAGCTTTTAACATACAAGGTTTCTGTATGGTTGTTTAAATCTAAACATGATTATCTGCAGAGATCTATAAAGAATCTTTTATAACATAAAAGCGTCTATACACAATCTTTCCAAAATCTAAATATAACTATAAGCAAAGATCCAGAGGACAATTGTTAAAACGACCACTTTTATGGCCTGCTTCTTTTCTAGTTATCTTGTTCAAAACCATCTGAATGACTGATTGCTGCTTCCAAAACAATAAAATTATCCTGACTCAGGAATACATAATATATTTGTTCATATAGAGTGAGAGCAAGAATAGATATGTGTGTTTATATGGAGAGGGGCTGCCACTAAAGCATGTACCTAAAATTTAGGGAAAACCAAAACCCAGGCCCCATGACCACCCGCTCTCAAAAATACGGCCTTCCATGATCCCAAAGCACAAGGTCTGTGACACCAGGGCAATTTGGCAAGATTTTTGGCCCTCAAAGTTTAGATGGACGATCGAAGATCCTTCGCAACAGTAGGGATTGCACGAGCCTCTCTTCCCTGGCCAACGGTAGGAATCATGTGCGGATGGCACATCCAATTCAATGCTAGCAACGGCCAAGTGAGCCACGATGGGCATCAGCATGAGTTGATCCTCAGCTTGTATCAGCTTGTTCTGCATTGTTTCTCCGCTGCTTTGAGATGGAATTTTAGCAGTTATGCCACAGCCGTAGGGTCGAAAAAGCCATGCTGCCAAAGTCTCGACAGCAAGCAACAAAGCTAAGACCTTCTGGCTCGCGGACACCGGAAAGGACATGTCCAGGTCGGAAGTTCCAATCTGTCGCTATGTGAGAGTCGAGTCGTTTCGTCTACAACACACGGACACAAGGGACTCATTGGACACGCCTGGGCTACAAGTAATGCTCTCAGATTGTTTAACACGTACCTGCGCAGCAGGAACGTACTTGGGAACTGACTGGGAACGTCTGAGAACAAGAATTTTCCCAACAGCCCCTGCAATGTCACACTGGATGGGAGCACCGCCATGTGAAGACTGTTGAAAGGAATCCAGCGCCACCGTGCTCCGGTTGGGCTGGGCAGCCCTCGGTGCATCGAAGAACGAAGGATCGAAGCCTTCGACGGAAAAGTCTGGGGGACGGAGAAGGTAAGGGCAATAAGGGGCCTGGGCCCCCTCGAAAGGGCCCCCTTCTTAAGGAACTCCCGCTTAAAGGAATTACATAATTATATAAGGGTTCCTGTTTGTTCCTTCCTTTTTCTTCCTCTCTCAGACCTTCTGTTTCTTCAATAACGAATTCAGCCAAATGAGCCTCGGCGTGTCCGTCTACGCCATGATCACACAAGCGAAGGGCTGGCAACTCTGCAGCCCAAAGCGCTGCCTAGGGCACATCTTAGGCCGAGGTCACTAAAAATGTCCCAAGGCCTCTTGCAACATGAGGGCATATTCATGGGACCCACAAAACTGCGCAATTGTAGAGGTGCATCAAGCCAATTGGTGGCTCATTTGTTGAAGCCTTGTCTGCAGCTTCTATTACTATTACTCTGACTGGCCTGAGCGAAGGGCACAGGAAGTGCCACTGTCGCTTCATCTGGCGTGAAGCTTAGTGCCAAACCTGCAGGTCAAGGCTTGAATGGCTTTTTACCCCGAGGCTTGGCATGTTGGCACCTGGAAGAGCCAGCAGCCTTGCCAGCATTGCGGGCAGTTGGCCACACGGGCCAAAAGCGCATTTCAGATGTGGAGCCCTGTGTGCATGTGGGCCAACGAAGGTTGACGGACTTTCTGGCAAAACCGCTGTCTTGACTTGCATACTGAAGCCCCCTACTCTAACACAAATAAACACGTCGTTCCTGCATGCACACGACGCATTTCTTGCATCGATGGAGCAAGGGCAAATGCATTGGTTGGCAATCTTGTGATGTGCTTTTGCTTGTTGGTCATGGTTTGTATGCGTTGCTTTGAGCAAATCAGCCAAGGCACCCTTGAAAGGGTGCGGCCACAGATGTGTGAATGTGTGTGTGTGTGTGCGGTATGTTCAAGACAGAGTTAGACGGCAAGCGTAGTGTATCAAATAGCGCGGTCTTTTTCTTCATCCAGCTCAACACCAAGGGACCACATCCAGCACTAGAATAGAATCTCCAGCATCAACAACGTGCTCCCTCACAAGAAATCAAATGCATTCTTCGGAGCTGCCGTGGAAACCAGCACCCCTGCAAAGAACTGCATGAAAACGAGCGGCGAACGGTTTCGGAGGCATTCAAGCCAACTTGACATGTCGACACGCCTTTGGATGCGCCGGCCAGAATGGTGACCTTGGCAGCTTCACGTGGTGCTCCAGGTGCCGTTGCAGTGGTTGATATGAGCAGAGATCTGAGGGACCAGATTCAGATTCCCTCACACCTTTCAACGAGGCTCTCATCACTTCCCATGACACTTCCCAATCTCACACAAATCTCTGGGTCCCCAGGCCGGAAGGAGTGGCAGCATTGAGCCCTGATTCGGTGGTCTCGTCACAGCACCTGAGACGAGACCACTGAGCATGCTTGAAACTGAGATGAGACATGTGGAGACATGTGACATGATTTTCCCTATCATGTGGCCCTTCAATCAAGGTACTCTGAACAGATTCCACTTCTTCGATATCCAGTGGCCCTTTCGTGGTCAAAGTGTCGGCTGGGCCTTGCCGCCAAGACATTGACTGCATGTGTACCAGATTGTCTTTGTTTTTATGTCTGTTCCTTTCTTCCATTCGTTTTGTCTCTCTTTAGAGCTTTGGGCTTTCATGTTCCCTTCTGTCACAATTCACAAGCTGCCTCTGTCCTGCAATGGATCCAAGTACCTTATGTCACGTACATCCATCAAGTGAGAATCATCTGTGACCAAAGAATTGAGGGGCATTTGCTTAGGTATCGGCTGACGTGCTTCCTCGGATCTTGCAGCAGCATCTGCCAGCGGACGGCTGTCCAGTTGCTCCTCACTGGGAGCAGCTTAGTGGACAAAAATCCTAGCAAGTCCTTCGAAAAAGCGAAAGAATCCCAAGAAACCACAAAATGCCAAAAATTGCCAGACAAAAATGCTTGATGTCTTCTCAAATCTTCAACAATGCCTGCCAGGACACTCCGTTGGACGCTGAAGCTAGGGCCCGTTCGGCCTCCAGGAGATCCTGATATGCCTAGACAGGCGAAGCTAGGCACGGCATGCCCGGCCGACGGAACACTGATGTCACGGCCACGGCCTTGGTGCTGACCTTGGCCATCCTTCCCCCGCAGCAGCAGGTCATGGCGCTCTCCTAGAGACAAGGCGGGGCACTGACGTATGCTACGTAAGTCCCTGTCTGGCTAGGCAATGCAATGGCACACGCAACAAACACTAGACCAACTGCTGTGCAACTCTTGCGCCTGCACACCGCCAAAGAACCTTGGGGATGCAAACTGGGGTCCGGGGTGCTGGATGTTTCGAAGCACAACGCCTTCGGAGCAGCTCCAACATCTAGTTAGTCCAGTTAGTTACGGAGAACTGCTGGTAACTGTTGGCTTCCAGAGAGTTTTATGCATTGGTTGGTTTGATCATTGGATGCAAGCATTGCAAACAACATTATTGCCAATGCAAGGGGCTGAAATGCTACTGCTACTTGCAAACAAAAGGCTCGTTTTGAAGCTCTGCCGATGCCTGCCCAAGACTGGCCAATAGGCTGCCTGCCTAGCAAGTGTTTGTCACACAATAGAGCGCGGAGCCTTACAAGTCTGCAATGCCCCAAAATCAAATTGGCAATAGCAATTAAACACGGGCAAAGGGCATTTCGCGGCATGGCGCAAATGCGTAGTTATCCGACATCAAGGCACTCTCTGAAGTCTGAGATTTGTTGTCTTGCCACATGTGTCGTTAAAAGAAGGCTTGCATCCTTTTGGTCTGGTATCTATTTGCACCAGCTATGATATCCATATCCATGATATTCCTTGGTTATGAGCTCTCCAACTTCTAACGCATTGGATTATCATACTATCATGGATGGATGATCCATATCCATGAAGCTTTTGCATGATGCTTCTGAGGCACAAAAACATGCGGTAGTGATACATCACTCATGCTATAGCTGAAGAACGGCGTCAAAAATCCAACAGTTATTGCACTGAGCCGGCAGCCATGGCCATGGAATAGGTTGTCTTCAAAATACCCCTGACATGCAAATTTGCAAACCAGTGTGCTTTTCTGTCCATCTGCTACAGCATATGTCTGAAATTATCCATAATTCATACATGTTGCCTTTCTCCCGTTGTCCTCTCATCTCAAACTCAACATCTGGCGTGGCCTTGTAGGAACAAGCTCCGTGATCATCGGTCCAATTCAGGGTTCCTACCTGCAAGATGAGTCGAACATGCTCATCATGAACAAAAGGCCAACTCTAGAATCGGTTCAACCTAATCCCGAGTACCTATTAAACAAGATGGAACCCACGAACCCGAATGGAAACACCTTCGAAAAACTACATATGTCCAAATCACACTCTTGTAGGACACTCTTGTGGGACACTCTTCTGGGACACTCTTGTAGGAAACTCTTGCAGGACACTCTTGTGGGTCACTCTTGTAGGAAACTCTTGTGGGACACTCTTGTAAGACACTCTTGTGGGACACTCTTATAGGACACTCTTGTGGGACACTCTTGTGGGACACTCTTGTAGGACACTCTTGTGGGACACTCTTGTGAGACACTCTTGTAGGACACTCTTGTGGGTCACTTGCAGGACACTCTTCCACGACACTCTTACACGACACTCTTGTAGGACACTCTTGTGGGACACTCTTGTGGGACACTCTTGTAGGAAACTCTTGTGGACACTCTTGTAGGACACTCTTGTGGGACACTCTTGCTTGTGGGACACTCTTGCTTGTGGGACACTCTTGTGGGATACTCTTGTCGGACACTCTTAAGGGACACTCTTGTGAGACACTCTTGAGCGACACTGTTGCGGGACACTCTTGTGGGACACTCTTGTGGGACACTCTTGTGGTGTGGGACACTCTTGTGGGACACTCTTGTAGGACACTCTTGTGGGACATGTGGGACACTCTTGTAGGACACTCTTGTAGGAAACTCTTGTGCGACACTCTTGTGGGACACTTTTGTGGGACACTCTTATAGGACACTCTTGTGGGACACTCTCTTGTAGGACACTCTTGTGTGTCACTCTTGTAGGACACTCTTGTGGGACACTCTTGTAGGACACTCTTG